GACAAAGTGAAAACGTTCATTTCAAAATATCAATCCGGTACCTTATATTCAAGTTTGGCATTCAAACGAAGTCCTTTTTATACTCCAATCATTACATTCTTTCTGAATAAAAAAGTTAGAAAAGGACTAGACAAAATCCATCCAAATCTTGGGCCCACAACTTGCCAATTGCAAGTTTCAATGAAAAAGGACGGTCGCACGGAACGACTGATATATAGGAGGCGCAAAAATGGCCGCCGACGAATCGATAAAGCTTAGAAGAAGCGCGCTGGGTCCTGGTGAAACGGGAAGTTTATGGTAATCACGGCTGCGGAGGAACCCGTGATTGATTGTTGTAGGCGACCTACTGCGGCCCGCCCACGCCCTCGACCACACTACTACGTACGGAACACACGTGTTCGCCGTTTTGTTGTACAACTATAATTTTCTTTAGCGGACCTTTTTGCGAACGTGCCCGCTGAAACTATTTATTAATGGCGGCCGTGACTGTGTGCAATAGAAAAGCCAGCCCTTATCTGTCTATCTATCGGCGCGTCCGTTACGCATGGGTGTGTAGACTATTCTTTAATGCGGCAGTAACGACAAGGGTGCGACTTCCAGCCCTACGGCCTGTTAAGACCCTAAGAAAAATGGCGATTGAGGATCCCAAGATTTAAGTGGCAGTTTCAAATGTGCCTACTTTTAGTGTTATTTCCTAAACGGAAACCATTTGTTTGCCTCATGCACGATCGACGAGAAAAATTTACGCAACACTCGAATGTATCTGTGAAGTGTTTATGCGAGGAGATTGCTCCGGAGGAAGTGCATTTGCGCCATTATATTCCTTTGTGTTGTTTTGTGAAGTGTGTTTGTAGTCCGAAAAGACTAAAACTGAAAATATTGAAACGTACATTCGTTGAAAGTGCGTGTCCCAAAAAAGAGAGGTTGTGTATGAATCATCGAGGCCCGCTGTCACGCTGTTTTCGAAAACCATTAGTTAAACGTTCTATAAAAAGTAGTGGAGCTTGCGAAATAAAACCGAACCGGGTGTGTTCACTAGTGCGGTTTCTTTACAACGGTCGGTTGTAAGTGGAACTTGGGCAATCTACACTAACTTGTAAGTCCTACGTAATAGCTACTAAAATTCCTTCCACAACTCAAAAATAAGTTCTCGCCCAAAATGGGACATGAAATTCGGTAACACTTATTTTTAGAAAATATCGCTGACCTAAGTTTAAGTGATGTGGGCACACGGAACATAACGTTTCACTTATCTCTTTTTGGACAGTATGTTGTTACAAAAGTGGGAAATTTTACTACAATCCTAGTTTAAGATGTAAGGTTTTAGTTAAAGCAACTGGTCAAAGTAACATTTTAACAGATAATTTAGAAGTGATATCTTGATTATTTTGAATATTGCTACTACTTATTATACATTTGTAAAAAATAAATTAGGTAGTGTTATATTTATCTTATACAGATCTGAAATAAATAAGCTTTACTCACACAAAACCGACAACGTACAAGCATACAAATTATCCAAAATTTTAGGTAAAAGAGAAACTAAATATTAAACGGTATTCGTGACAGACGGTGTTACGATGAAACTTGTTACATAGGAACATTTAGTGTTATATTTCTGGAAGCAAAACTTGATGCGTACACCCTCATATATCGCACAGGAATATGACTTTTACAGGTGCTACCTCGTAAAGAAACGCAGGTGTACGAGTCCCACGGACGGTTAAATCCGCCAAATAGAAATTGATGTTAGTAGGTGAAATCTAAACTACACAATATTTTAGCCATTTCGAGGCGCGTCCTTGTTTTGTTGTTAAAATTCATGGTAAGCGGAAGCAATTAGGAGGGTAATATGTAAGGACGTAATGGAGTGACGTGAATTTGTTGCTCCTGTTTTAATGGACGCGCGTATTTATGTTTCAGAATACTGCACCACCATCTCTTGTCTCAGTCTCTTCCCATTGATAATTATCGCAATTATTTATACCTACAGCTATTATTAGAACTCAGTGTCTTATTAAAAACGTCATTAAGTATTCACGTTGACGACGAGCGTGTTTCATATTTTTTTAAGATTTGAATTACGTACGTCATATATGTCTATATATAATGGGAATTTTGGACTGCCTTCGTTGCAGTGGTTGCTAAGATAGCCGCTGAGGAGATTGTTATCTATTCCCTTCTCTTTAAAATCTGGCTTTGTTATGTGTGTTATGTTAATATGAAACAAGTGACACATTTTTCACATCATACTATGGTTTTAATCATTACCGGGTAGATAAATTATTACATTATTCTTTTCATAAACTTCTAAAGTGTAGGAACAATGAAACCAAAATACTGACAGAGAGCAACTGTCTAATTTGTACAGCGATATTTAAAAACCGCTGACAATTTAAAACAAAATTACAATTTCAGCGTCGCCATTTAAATCTGTGTCATTTACTCCTTGGTCATTAAACACAAAACCGGCAAAGAAATAAAGATATTTTTTATTATTCAAAGTGAACCGTGGTATCACCCTATCACTTCGTGCGGGAAGGCAAAGCAGCTATTAGCTTAACGACCATTTTAATATAAGAGATGACATATTAAATTTACGAGGGCGAGCTCCCCACAGCGTAAACGTTGACGCTGACGTGTCGCCTCTGTCTTCTTTATTGCGTACGTAAATATAACTATCAGATGTGTTTATGATATGCTAAGGCGAATTTTTAATGGCCGGAATCGTTTACGAGTCCCGTACACTGTACTGAATAACCGATGATCGTAACTTTAATATTCCCCCGTCATGTGCGCGTTAAACAAACACTGTCTTTACTTTGTGACGCGAACCTCTCACTTTGTACATTATTTACGAAAACCGCGTAAAAACTGAGACCGTAACATTGATCATTTTCTCCGACACGCAACAAAAAAGGGACGAAATAATAAGCGATTAGTTTCCCGCTCTGTCGTGTACACGTTACGCGGATCGCAGGGAGAAAAGCTTGCTTCATGCACACCTCTCGTTTCGCACGGAAGCGAACCGTAATTACTCTAAAACACTACCCATTTGTTTGATGTCTTTGTTCGTTGTTTGCTCCACTTAGGGCGAGCATCACCCTTGCGATTCCGCCCGACACATGCCGTGAGTTTCGTACAGCCATTAGGTGCGAGACAATGGGGCAAGACACAAAAAACAAGCATTAATAATCAGGAATATGCATCGACAACGGGAAAGGGTGGTATCTATTCCCCAGCCCTTTCAACGGAGACGAGAGATAATGGCGGTGGAAACTTCAAGCGACAAAGACAATGGTAAGGCTCGAATAGGTATAGATATAGTGGCGCCGATTTTTCGTACTTTTTTCTGCGTTCTCTGTTCTGCGTGGTGTGTAGTCCCATTGTTTGAGGGGAAAGCAAAAGTGATTGAGTTGTTCAATATCACGCGTTCATACAAAAGAATTGTTTACGTGACGACGTCTCATTATAGTAATTAACAAGCGGTAATAATATTATCACAATTGTTTATCAGTACTTCAAAGATAAGAACTGTTAATTAAACTTCATGCTAAGTGGGAATATTTGTGAAGTTACACTGATATTTATGCAGTGGTGAGTGGGTTGAGTTTACTTAATTGTTCCTTATAGTGCTATCAAGCGTCGCATGGATGACCACAGTAATTTGATTACGTCCCGAAATTTACATTAAAATAATAAAGAGGCATTAGAGAAAGACAATAGCCTTGTTGTGTGCGTGTTGTACCCGGCTACAAGTTAATCGGGGGCAAGCTTTATGGGCGCACATGATTGTAATAGTCTTGTAAAGGGTGACTGGTAATGTATTACGACAAATGGACGGCGCTATGCGAGATGGAGGAAAAAGAAAATAAAGTAGAATTTTCCTCATTTTTAATTAAATTGGATTTATCGTTGTGTAAAAGTGCCCATAAAACATTTAATGATATTAGAAATCGTACGAATAAAATACATAATTAAAAGTTTCAATGCGCGTAATGTAATTTCAAAGCGAATAGACGGACAAACGGGTCGGACTCTGAAGTGTTAACTAGTGCAATTAAGCTGTTAATCTAGTGTTAGCAAAGTTCATGGCTACATCTGGAATACACATGTCACAGCGCCGCCACCTCCCCCATGGTGGGGAAAAATCTAAACACAGTAAAAGCCGACTTTAGTGGCATTTTATTGGCTCCATTTGGAGCGCAGCCAGCACTGTTCCTTCGCCTCTAATTGATATCTGACCAAAGCGTTCACTTTACGAACGTACGATTTCTTGTAGACAAGTGTTTTGCGTATTGTTTCATCTGTCAGCTACGATTTCGTGAGACCGAGAGTGGTTTTACTAGAAAAATACGAAAATAAGTTTTTATACCGATTTTTGTGCGAACGCTTGAGTAAGCACTCGTATTTCACGTCTTTTTTTTCAATCATTGTATACTTATACATGGAATGATAACTTTTTCATATAAAATTTTACGGACTTGCCAACATATTTTGTTTTATCGGCACACGTTGAAAATTATGTTAAATAATTAATACATCACTTAAGAGCCTCCCCTTATGCATTATAAGTGCAAATGAATATGTAACTTGAGGAGGAAGTAAACTTGAATAAATAAAGCATGATAAGTTACTTGCAATGTTACAAGTTACTTATAACTTGCAAACTTTTCCTCATTTGTCTAACATACAAAGTTTTAGGATAACATCTAATCGGTAAAGTAGGATTGGGAGGTTTTTGTACAAGAATAAAGTACTATTATTATTTAGTTTGGCTCCGAGTTTTTTGCTGGGAAGTTTCGTATACTATATGTAGATTATGTTTTTTTCCATATCAAAAAGAGTGTAGAGATAACTTCGTGTGTATTACGGGTCATATTGTTACTGTTTTATGTATTTGTTGATTCGTATAAAGTTATATACTTCTTACTTTCTGTGAAAATGCTTCAGTATTGTACGATAAAGTGGGGCCTTATTGAAATTAATCTAGTACTTACCATTTTGTTGTTGATTTCGTGAAAATGTATTTCGCACACTTTATCTACTATGTCTTCACTTTGAAACGTGACGAAACCGAATCCTGGAACAAACAGAAACATATCATATTAGTTAAATAATTAATGCACATAATACTTAAGATAATATAAAAGATAATGCTCATAAAACTAAATTCGTTACACTAATTACGATCAAGATATATTCAAACTTGACTAAAGCTGAAAACCTCAGACATTCAGTCTTAAAAGTTTTCGAATTAACCGTCGTTCCAAGTAATCAGAAGTATAAAAGTCTTGGCTTTGATATCGTTTTAATTAAAGGCAATTCGCGTAAAGTTGATTTCAAAAGGCACGTCAATCAGATCGACAACACCTATCGGAGCATTGTGTCGGTTGGTCGGGGCAGGGCCGCTTCTTTGTGCCCGACAATTTAATAAAACTTGCGCCCTCGCCGCCGCCGCCGTGCACCCGCGACAAACCAAACAATACCTACCCTGCTTTAAATGCAGCTAGACATTCACATAGCCACAACGACGACCAACTTCCCCTATATGTATCCCCGTCCGACTCAAAAGATCGTTCAAGTTCGCCCCTGCACGATTCATGAATTACAAATTGCAATTTTGAGTTTCGCACTCGAATCGCTTTCCGATATTTACACGATTCTATGCGACAACTTACGACCTAGCTGGCAATCTGTCGCACAAATAAATCCCTCCAGTTCGAAACACGTCGCTCTCCGGGTCGTGTTTCCCGATTCGCAATCACCTGACGTAGACCAAGTTTCCGCTTAAAGTGGCAAACAAAACAAGGCATGAGCAGGCGTGTTTCTGTCTGCTAACGATTAAGACACACACACGTGACGTATCCACCCACGACGACAAATAGCATTAGCGAGCCGCTCCGCAAACAGTCGGTGGCGCCGCGCGCCGCGATTATGCTGACACGTACACCGACACCGGCCCCGTATCGCTACAACTTTCTCGTCCCGTGTCCACGTGTTGATATGGGCACGTGTGAGCGACATACATCTTCATGAGTCGGGATCAACGTCGACAATCCCCAAACTTATACAGAACCGTTTCAAAAGTGAACTTGTCCAACAATAGCCCTCAGCGACGAGGTGCTAATCGATACCCTTGTAAATGTTACGACCGAGCCGATACTTATAAGCTGACAGTGCGGCTCTTTGTTCATATTTAGTTCATCACCTTTCACGACTTCGCTGGCCTAAACAAACAGCACGATCCACCCCAAACTAGGGCGCACTTGGTATTTCACGCGCGGCCGGGTGGCTTTGCGTAGGAATCGAGGCAGAGATAGTAACACCCCGAAAAGGCAAATAGGGGTTCAATCGAGTTCCGTTAGATGACCGTATTTTCTTTATGCATTATAAGGTCGGTGCGGTATATCAAGTGAATCGTTTCTGCGTTATTGCTTACCCAATAAAAACGATTGGAAACAATCCCCACTTACATAAAACATGGTGTCGGGATAGAAGTAGGAAGCTCGATAACGCATTGTTTTGAAGCTTGCATATTAAAAGTGAGGCAGGGAGCCGGTCGGACGACAGTTATTATGTACTCGCATGCCGAGTGGAGCCAATCCCCCCTTATTTATGCGGGTCCGCAAACGGAATAAAGTAAGAAGCGAGCAACGTCGGCGGCTGGCGAGCAAAGTTATCTGCGGGCGAGATGGCTGAGCAAATATGAAATCGGACCACACTATCAAACTAAATTAAGTACTTCTTAATGGATTAGCAACGTTAAAATCACCGATATTTTGTTGGCATGGCCACAAACTGAGCAAATAAATACAATACCCCAAAAGTTTGTAGATGAAACGTTAAGAGAAACGGGAGAAATAGCATTGTCACTGACCACGTAAAAAGTTTTAGGTTTCGTGTTGCCTTTGTGTGCTCGCTCTAGATAAATGGGGTATTTTCGTGAAATTCGTCCGCGTCACTTCTCGTAACAATGGCGAAGATAAATAATCTCTGCGTAAGAAAAGGATTCCGTAAACATAATTATTTGAACTCGCAATTGTAGCTGTGAAACGCTAATGAAAGTTCTCCTGGGTCGCTTCAGGAATTAACTTTATTTTTCTCCGACTTCAATTACACTGGGTACCTTTACTTTTAAAGCGGAATACTTTAATTAAATCTGGCGGCTTATAGGTGATCTGCGTCCCTCCGTACTGATTGGTCCTATACTTTGTTTGCTAAATTAAATTAACATCACTCCATGAAAGTTTTAAGTACTTTTCTGTGAGAAAAATAGAAATACACAAACAATTGTAATTATAGCCGAAATAATTTATATGTTACAAAAACGTGGTGAAGATTTTCTCCATTTCTGTATCAACATTATATTGATGACATCGATAGGGATATTCCCCTACCTGAGATCCCCTACCCCTACCTACTCTGAGAACGTGAACCTCAGCACTACAGCTATGAAAACGGTGACCGATTTTTATTAATTCCCATCGAGTTCGCACCTGCGATAGCGGCGCTCGTTATTTTAATATAAGAAGCGAGAGGTTGAGGCAAAGATTATGAATGTGTCTCCCGATATCGGATATCTCGACACATCTGTCGGGCGGCACGTGGAGCTGACAGTGGGCGGCTGCTCCCCCCTGCACCGCCGCCTGCCGAATGCTCCCCCGAATCGGGGGCATAGGCAGTATAATCTGCCCCGCCACTGTATGAAACACCGGCCGGTGGCGTTTATGGCGCTATAATAACCGTATAAAACGCGACTTATTGTAGGCGTCGATAACGGACGTTATACAACCTTAGGCCTCCACTTTGTGCCACGCCGACGCTCCGGCTCCACCACATTTTTTCTATGTTACCTTCGCTCCCGAATGTAATGGAATTTATTACGATATCTCCCACTAATGTAATTCCCGCAGTATTCATTTGTCTAATTGAATATTACATTAGTACATACATACATTATGCACGAGGTACCTGTTCCAAGGCGTGCACTAAATAAGAACTTGCCAGTTCCACTTCGATTTGTATTTTCGTTGGCACACTAATGCAGAATTTCCTCTCCGACATGCAGATTTTCGCAAGATGTTTTCCTTTACTGAAAATAAATATTTACCTGCGCTGCGAAAAATTCAATGGTGCAAAACGCGGATAGAACGTGGCTCACGTACGAGATTAATTCTCTATCGATCCTATCAATAGTGCTGGGATTTAGCTGAATGATCACAGCATAGCGTACATACACTTGTGTGTTGTCATCAACAACAACTGTATGTAAGTTAATAAGCAGTATCTTGTTACAGACAAATTGAGTCAACAGGACTCATTGTAGCGTAAATTTTGCTTGTTTTTGTACAGAATAAAAGTAATGTAGTATGTCGGCGATAACTAGCAAGTTTTCATTAGGAGCGCTCTCAACAACCTCTCAAATGATCAGCGGAGTTGGCCGGTGGCAGCGCTCGACGTCACAACTTTTGTTATTGTTTCGCTTCATTATTGTAATACGAAATACGCGGCACAATAATTAAGAGATCCTCGTCTATCGCCCCCTCTGACGTCATAGTTGGCCCAAACTTTTATCAACGAGGTCTCATCGTGACAGAATGTTTGCTACGTAAATAATTGCCGGATTGCTTCTGAGCTCAGCTAATAATAACAAGTTAATCGCAATAGTTATTACCGAGAAAAAGGCTAGGTTATATGGAACAGGATTGCCTCCGTTGGGGGCTGTTATGCCATCAATGTTTATCAGAAACCTATTAGCTAAACATTTCTTGCATCGTGGGTGGTCTAAGTACGCAACAACTTATTAGGCTCCTTGTATAAAACTTAGTGGTAGAAAAATGTTAAAGTTAGTAAGATTTTCTCATCAAATGCAAGTAAACTTTGTTTAGGACAGTAGGTACAGTATTTATATAAATGTGAAAAGTTTAATCCTGATCTTAACTTTGGTTACTCGAAAAAAGTAGAACCATTAGAAGGTTGTTGAAAGCAGCTGACAGTCGCTCTATATTAAAAAAATCTGTTAAACCAAAACCGATTAAGTGCCCCGATAGCCAGGAGAAAATTAAGATCCCAGATATACCTATTACTACATTGTATGTGGATGAGGTAAAAAATATATATAACACATAAAATGTTCAAGCACCTAATACGAATTTTATGTCTATAAATCACACTAAAGCTGAAACTGCAGAACGAAACGATTCTTCTCGAGTTATATTCTTATCAACGTAACAGGAACGTATTACACTCTAGTTTGTGCTAATGGATGATTGATCACACTTCCATACAACTTCTTATTAGATATTTATTTCTGTTTCAAACACTACTCGGTATGTAGGTAAGAACAATAGTAATACATTACCCGCCTGTATGATAAAGTAATCTATCGAGGATTCAAATGGTCGATCGTAACAGACGCATCAAAATAATACGCGAATCCAAAACCCGTGCCAAGGCAAACACTCCGGTTCTAATGCATTCCAAGTGAGGTGCAAAGTCTAAATGTAAACTTTCGGCAAGCTAAGAAAATGGAAAATAAAAGCTGGAAAGAATTGGCTCATCCTCATTTTCTCTATTGTTAAGTTGAATAGGACACGAACTATCAACTTGGTAGACGCGCTGACTGTGCGGAGACACCTTTATTGTCTACATTCAGGTAAGTAAAACAGAAACACTGCTCCTACGACTCTTTTTCCGTCAAGATGTTCAACTTTTAAAATCGCGAAGTTTGTACAAGTTGTTTTATTGCTTCAGAAACGTTTTAAAGCTTTTGACACAAAAAGAATTTTTGGACTCGTCCCTTAGTGTTTGGCGAAGAATTCGCAACATGATTTCTTACAGAAGCGCTGTGCAATATTGTGACTTATCTGAGAGGATCTACTACATAATGTTATTTGAATAATATAATGTTCTCATAAGCTGTTTTAGTTGCTAATGTATTGAAAAATAACAAAAAAATATTATGCCATAAATCAAATTAGATTGAAAAGAAAATTGTAGAGTGATCAGTAAGATGAGAAATATTTGGGTGTGTGTCAGTTAGGCCACAAGCGGGAGGACAATTTATCAAGGGCGACGGTACCCTCGTCCAATCGGTTGATAGCAATGCCATAAATATTTACTTTAATAAGATTCGGTCCTTTTTATTCGCGTGTGTTTTACGACACTGTTTGACCCGTGATGTCAGCATGGTAGCGGCGTAAGCGCATTGTTTTTTATAGTGTCGGAATTTGTAGCAGGAGTAAGTGAATATACCTGACCCTGTCGTAATAGATTGTAAATGTGCCAATCGACTGTATTAAGTGCCGAGGGAAAGAAACTGTTGACTTTTTGTTTTTGTGACGTATTGCGTGCCTAGATTTGTTTATGTATGCTGCTGAATTTGGAATATTGAATTGTTTGTCAAGCTTATTAGAAGTTCAAATAGAGTTTTTTAATCACTGTTTAGTTCTCATGAATAACTGTACCTACATGACAATATCTTTCTATGTAAAATTAAGTTAAAATGAATGAGAATCCTCTTAGTAGTATTTAGAAGCTAAGGCAACAAGCTCTCACAATGTTTAACAACTAAGCCATGTACTTGAGTCACAAATATATTGTAAGGAAAATTGTAAACTTGGTCGTTGGTCGCACGGAATTAAGCAATAAGAATTTGATGAATTTAATACTAAACTGTAACCCGAATTTGCGATTTATAGCACATAATAATGTAAATGGAACATTGTTGAGGGGAGACCAATTTTTCTATGAACGTCATAAAAATTATTTTACGATGGGGAAAGTCTGGCTAGGCCAATTTACTAAGTAGGCGATTTATTACAACCACAGTACTGAGTTCCTGGCTAGTTCTAAGTATTTATTACTTTAAAAATTAGGCAGTTTTATGTTCGTTTAGTCGAAAGTCAGTGGTTGAATTCAGTTATTAGGTTAGGTACTTAATACTTAAGTATTAAGCAAAAAAAATATTGGTACGTTATTAAATTAAAAAAAAAAAACGAAGTCACGGCCCCACCTTGGCCGCC